ATCTCCACCTGGTATGCAAAGATTATTACTAACAAATGATCATAGTGTATGTCCTACTAAAATAAAAACTAAATGAAATTTTCATTATATTCGAATTTATTTCTATTCTTTGCTTATGCCTATCTTTGATCAATATCAAGCAATTTTCAATATTTTCTAACTTAATACTAACACAAGCCGTTCGACTTTATCCTATTTTAGAAAATACAGCTATAATTATTTTTCGCCCAAAAGTTTCTTCCTTCAACTATTAAACGAACAATGATTTTCCTTTGTTTTTATACGATGCCGTAATTTTAAAGCTACAACAGGTTTAGCGATTATCAAGGTTTGTTAAATTAAAAGTTTTATTTTCTATCGAAACGATGATGTTTTTACTTGCGATAAAAGTATGGTCACTTAGGAAACATTTTTCTGTGAACATGATTTTGTTCAATCGAAGAATGCTTTTTTTAGTAAGTTGACGGTTCATTGCAGCTTTTTCATAATCATTAGAAGATAAATGGATAATCAAGACAAATAGCTAAAAACGTCTTCCTGTGTACTCCTGAAGCTTTTATTGTTATAAGCTAAAAAGAAGATATTGAAAATAATTACAACAAAACTAGTACAGATATAATTAATATTCATGAAAAGTCTGTAATAACTTTCAGTAAGAGAACATCTGATTATTCGCTTCTGATACACATAAAGATGATACCTAACCTTCCTGTGTAATTTTCTTTATTCTCAATACTGATTTCAATACAAAAATAAAACTTAAAAAGAACATTATAGTGTCAATAATTTCAATACTAGTGCACCTAATACATGCCAATCATTTTGTTCTTGATAAATCTGTGCTGATAATCGTAAATAACATGGAATATTACCAAGTTCAGGAATAATATAGCTGGCTCCACTAACCATTGTATTATATGTATTATACAATTGACTAACAATAATTTGACATTGTGTAAAATTATTTGTTGGTACTTGTATATTTGTCATAGAACTTTGCATATTTTCAGGTGATAATATTTTTGTTTTCCATAGACGTGATAAATATCGACCACCATATTGTGCTAAATCATGATTATAATTCATAATACGTTCTTCACCACCTAATGATTGTCGATAATCTAATGCTGATAAAATAGCACAATATGGTGTACGATCACGTGTACCTGTCCATATAAATCTTGATTCAAAATCTTCAATCATTGCTGAATCAACAACAGCTGGTGCTGGTACATATAAATGTTGATGATCATGTCGAACATAAAGTAAAGCACTACTTTTACTTGAATATAACCATTTATGTGTATTTGTAAAATAATAATCAACATTTGACATATTTTCAATATTAATTTCAATATTTCCAAGTGCATGTGCTCCATCAACAATTACTGGAATATTATATTTATGAAATAATTCTACTAATTCATTTACAGGTAATATTACAGCTGGATATGCAGAAACATGACTAAATATAGCAATACGAATATTTATTGTAGAAGCATTAGCTTCTAATGCACTAGTGATTGGATTAATGAATGATTCTGGACCAGTGACTGGCCATTGAATTGGTACTTCTAATACTTTAACACCATAACGTGAACCTAACCATTGATATAAACCTTTAAATGGACCATAAGCAATAGATAAATCTAAAATATAATCGGATGGTCCTAATGGTGGATCTAAATTTCTTATAATATCATTTATTCCTTCACTAGCATTATCGACTAATACAGTATCGGATGCATTTTTAATATGCATCATTTCTGCTAATTGTTGTTTTGCTAATGTTATACATTGACGATATCCTGTTGCACCATTCATCCATTTACTCTAAATAGTCATTTAAAAATGAAAATTGAAAAACAAAAATCTTAATAATTATAGAAATATTTGATTTTAGCTTACGATCGATGATTCCATTTGTTCAACATATCTATATTGGGATTCAACAACAACTTTTGGTGTACCACCATAGGCACCATGATTCTATATCATATATATAAAATATCTCTGTGACAGCAAAGTGATAAGAAGTTAAGTTATACATACAAATTGATGAAATATAGTACCATTATTAACAAAGAAAAAATCATTTAATCTTTCCGGTCCAAATGGTATCGGATCTGTTATTGTAGATGATGTTGTTTTCGTGGTAATTACCAGAAAAATAGTCACAAAAAATATGGCGAACATTGATAAATGATGATGCAAAACTAAATATCAAGATTAAAGGTGAAGTAACGTTTGCGTCACTTATAAATATTGACCTCCTCTTCTTTTATAGTTGTTGGAGAAAGAATGTTGTCATCATTGTTGTTCTTATTTTTATCAATGTAACATCATGTTGTCTACGATTTTAAACAACAAAAGTAAAGAACAACAAGTGTTACCAACCAGCACATCAGATAATAAATGGATACTTACACTTTCTAACCAATAAATAAATATAAAATTGCGAAAAATAATTTGCTTTTTCGATGAGAGTTCAAAGATTTATAAAAGCACAATGCAACTAATTAGATATTTCTATTGAGCACTAATGTTCCGTTAGAGTATGTGTGAATGTATTGGGAAGGAGGTTTCATCCTTTGTGCGTCGCTTATTTCCTTACAAATCTATCGCCTCATACAGATGATAATTAAAAGCATACTATATGAAAAAACTGGAAATGTTATCTTGATTATTAGTTATACCTTCACATAAGTCGATCAGAAGTAAACCCTTCTCAATTAAAGATTTAAGTGACATGAAAGAGCTGATACGAAATATTATGCATAGGCAAAATATTCAAGCTATTTTCTGTATTTGTTACATAAAGTATTTAAAGAGACGCTTTAAAACAAATTTAGGAATGGAAAAAATACGCTGAAATTTTCTTCTTACTATTATGTTATTCTCTTCATGAATGAATTATATTTTAAGACAACTTTTCTGAAGATGGTATATTAGTTCTCTCAGTTTTCAAAGATTTCAAACCAAGACTATACGACACAAGTTTTCTGATACAGATCTTCAGCGAATCTCATCATATTGCATTCCATATAGTGTTTGAATATGATTAAACTGATACAGTTCAGGTTATTTCATGCAGTCAATGATTCATACTATTTCCTTTTTGTACTCATTCTGATCTTGGTCTTGGTGCATTGTTTGGAAGTTGAATTGTGCCAATTACAGTCAAGATATGTGTTTTATCAAATATTTTTGCCTCGGAGCATATTATCTGGATTGAATCTTAATATATTATCATGAATATTTAGCTAATGTAGTTAGATTCATTCTGTTTCGTCTCTTATGCGGGGTGTGGATGTGGGTGTACCTGATTCAAGAAGTATAACCCACACCCACCCTATGTTCCATGAATCACATAGAATAAAAAGAAGAAATAAATTGATGGATCTGTTGATGTAGGGTGTGGGTGTGGACATGCATCTTGGTTTCATGCATACCCGATAATAAATCATAAGTGAACTATGCTACTGATCTATCGGAAGCCGCATTATTTTTTTCAAGTATTAAAATTTAAATAATGCATCTCTACAAACTCTCTTGATCTAATGATTTATTTGTAGTTATCAGTTCGTCTATAAAATGTCTCTTTTTATTTTTGTTTTATAACTGTTGCGAGCAATCGAATTGTTATTTTTCTCAGTCGATGAAATAAAACTGTAACTATGTGGCATTAAAACGCGAGTATATATTTATGGATTGATAAGTTGAATTGATGTGAAAAGAATATAATCTAATTTTAAATTTTATTTTAAGAATAGGAAGTATTGAATCATTGTTTAGATATTGAGAATTATTAAATCTCATTTAAAGCATTTTGTAATTTGAACTCAAGTCTTACCCGAAATACCTCAATCAAAATACGTTAATAATATTATTTTGATGTGATTTAAACTTTTCGACCGAAAATTTAGAAACATAGAACTTTTACAGCGGTGGATGTGGATATCTTTTGGTAAAGAATTGATCTGCATCAATAAGATATTCTCTGGAAATTTCCACATGACTGTTGCTTTGATATTATCATGAGAAGAATAAAATTTTGTCTCGCCTCTCTTTTCGTCCTCAAACTTGATGCATGTCTGTGCGTGACTATTTAGTGACACAGATCATGGAGGAAAAAGGTAAACTTAAAGAATCATGCTTATGAAAAGGTCATTAGTCTTCATTCAATTACTCATTGTCTCAATTTATTCTGCGATGATGAATGTCTCCTAACAATTTTATACAGTACAATTTTTATTGTATCAATAGCTAACAATCGAGCTAGAACACTTCATATTAATACTGTGCCTTCAACACTTCTGATCGTTGAGCCTTGGAAGACATAGAGCGAATGTGTCGATGATCACGGTAACATTTTATGGCGGGTATGATTATGCTCAATACTTCTAGAGGGCGAAATGGTTGAATACTAATAGAAGTCACCATAAAATCGTCTTAAAGCGGGTATGATTTCCCTATGTGCACATTTTTTTACGAACGCGATGAGTTAGACATGATAAACTTTGTGTTAGCGTAATGTTTTTACGAGTATTGACTCAGTATCAAGTATATGCTTTTCAATTTATATTGATGTGGGATGTGGGTGTCATTATAGGTGTTCTCTGCATCCATACCCATATCCATGCCCCACATCCATCCACACCTAAACCCATCATTATACAATTAGTTGTTGTCCTTTGTAAATTGTAGAGCTTTTCATGCTGCATCTTGTAGTATATTTTGTATTTTTAATACAAGGTATTAAAGGATGAAAACATGAAATGGAAAAAGAAACCATTTTTTGTCCATAATAGAGTATCACGAAAATTAGGCATTTTTGTATTTGTCGAACATATGTGGAACAATAAGCTAATCAAATGGATTGTATGTAAACATATGCAGTTTAAATTATGCTCTATTCATAGACATGGAACTAAAGACATAATAATAAAGGATAGAGAATAATGAACTAATAGAAAAAGAAACTTTTGTGTCATGTCTTGGAAAGAGTATTTACTCCATATATATCTGTTCGCTATTATGATGTTCGAATGATTTTGATTTCGAAGAAAGTTTAGCATTCAATTTTATGTGGAACCATTTGAAAATGAATCATACAATAATGGAATACAAATGCTGTAGAAACAACAAGAAAAACATAAAATATCAAGAAGTTTTTATTATAATTGTTTTTGAATCAATTTTAACTTTATTTAAGAGTGAAACGTAGCTAAGAGGTTCTCTTTGAGAATTAGTTGCGCAGTCTAGAATGTACTTATCAATCATGCATACAAAAGAACATTCTTTCGGCTGGAAAATATGAAAAAGAAGTATGTTGACGTGAAAACGGTCGAGAATTGTTGTAGAAAATTTTGACTAGTGAGGAACATGGTTTATTATGTGGCATAATGCTAATATTCAAACGGAAATGAAACGTAAGCCAAAGAATAAAGAACAACAAAATTTATAGTGTCACTTTTCCATTAAACACTTATAAAAGATAAGCCATCTAAGTATTCTATGGCAGTTATAACATCTGCATAATACCATTAACTAAAATTGTCATCCGATATTGAATTCCAATCAAAATAAGTTGTGATTTTGATTTAGCTAAATCTAGTGAAGATGAAGTCTATATCAGATATATATCCATCACTATTTACGAATGATTAACAATCTAGAGTACTAAAATTATAAGAAAAAAAAACAATGAATTATAAATATATTTAAAGTCATCATTTATCGAAGAAATCACTTTGTTGAATATTTTCCCATTTCAAGAAATTGTATGTATCATCCCTGGAACTTTCTCAATGCTAATCTGCTTTTGGTTTAGTTGGATATTCTATATAGACTTGACCGAGTGTGGGGTATGTTGGTCTTCTGTTCAACTACACTCAATCAACATGAAAATCAATTAAAATTCCAGTATAGTAAATTTATGAAATGACCTCATTTTAAATCGAAAAACTAAATTTTTATTAAAGTAATATGAAATTATAACTCATGACATATTCTATGATAACCAAACGCTGTCAAAACTACATTTTCATACTCATAAACACGTGTCATCAACACTAATGCATACTCAATGTTGAGTAATTACTGGAAGAATGCGACATCTACATAGAGGCGAAGTATCTTTTATAAGATATTTTCTTTTTTTCGTTTGGTGTTATCTTGAAATATTATTACTCAACATCAATTTGATTTCAACTTAACATACTATTCTATACGAACAACGTTCGGAGGTACGAAAGTGATGGTTTATCATGTATGTGACTATTTAACAACCTAACTCTACCATTGCTCATTCATGACTTCTCTGAGGTCCGAAAGTAATGGTTTATCTATAATAAACTATTCCAACAATATCTAACTCTACCATTATTCACTCATGACTTGCCTCAGGTCCGAAAGTAATGGTTTATCGAAATTGATGAGGCTACAGCCAACCTAACTCTACCATCACTACATCACGACCTCCTTTTTTGTCTTTAGTTATATGAAAATCAAAGGAAAGAGACGAAAACAATTATACAAACTCAAGTGTTTTTGTACGTTTTGATAAATGTAATTAGAGAATTACATGTGTTTTTTCATGATAAACTATGATTTGGAAATTATACTACGATACAAACAGTTCTCAGAATTAACATTCAATAATGATAAAAAAAAATACATCTAGAAAATGAGCTTTATGAAATTTGAAAAATTAAAGACTTATTACAGTAATATAAACTTATAGACCATATTGTATTTCATGATAATTGAAAGAGATCGAACCTCTATTTCTTATTCATAAATAATTGTTATCTACATTAGAGAACTTTCTCGTTGTTGAGTAATTATTTAAAGAATATCGTTTACAGACACATACAAAGTGTTTCATTAAATAATATTGCTTTTCTTTGACTTTCTTTCAATATGTGATCATTCAACATCAATTTCATTTCAGCTTAATATACTATTCTATAATTACAACATACTGAGGTCCAAAAGTGATGGTTTATCAGAAAAATATTACTTGAAATCAACTTCACCATCACAGCCTCATGCCCTCTTTTTGTCTTTCATTAAATGATAATATAAAGAAAGAGACGAAAACATTTATACAAATTGAAATGATTTTCAACATTTTAATAGATGTAACCTAAGAAATTATCTTTTTTCCTTATAAATTATGATTTACGCTAATA